TGACTGTACCTGTCTTAGGTTGTTCCTTCCCTGAGGAATCTTACCCGTCATTGGCTAACCAATCATCCTCCGGGGCCAAGTAGGGTGATGTGAAGTTCAGTTCTGTCTTATTGGTAGCCTATGCCACCATGGCCTCCATGCCCAGCACCTGCCTTGAGATCCCCTCGCCTGCTAATGGGGCCCCAGAACTGATCACATATCTCAGGGAACTCAGGTTTCTCCTCCAGGGAGGGCCCAGCTCACACGATTGGGCGAGAGGCAGATCCATGATACCAGCCACCAGGAGGCTTCAAGCTGAGCATGAACAGAAAGCTCAGGCAACAGAGGTGGGGCACAACCCCCTTCCCCCCCTCACACACACATACACACACAACACACACACCCAACCTTGCAGGGGCCTGAACCCTCACCCCTTCAGAGGGAGATCTCCTGCCCCCATGGCTGCTTTGCTTCCCATGCTCAGCTCAGATTGGGACACAGGAGACAGACAGAGACTTGACCCAGCTCAGATCAGGACCCAGGTAACAGACAGAGACTTGGCGGACAGCAGCTGCCCTATATCTAAATCCAGCCTAGCATCAGGAATGTTCAGGACCTACTCAAGAATGCAAATAATCCTTTCCACTTACAGGGTAAACTAAGATTGTTGTTAGAGTATTAAATTTGACAGTAAAAAAGTAATCAAATTATCAGATTAATTTAAATAGGCTAATTGAAATAATTGAATATTCGAGAAAATTTAATTATACTGGACAAAAAGCTGTTCCTAAAGTAGTAACTAAAATTTCTATTGGTAGTTGATCTCATGGTAAAATTTCTGAACATGCAATGAACCTAAAGCAATCATATTTTTGTGCAAAAAATTAAAATTATCAAGGCTGCATTATAAAATTTATAAAAGCCTCCATTAATCAAAAAAAAAGGGGGATAGTAGGGTATTATCATGTAAGGAAAAATATCCTATAAGTAAATTACATCTAGAAAATTTTTACTTTAAAAAATTAATTTTCATTTGTAATGCTAACAGCATAACACCCATGAAAAACATGCATGGTATCTAAATAAGACAAAGGAAAATCCTTTGGGCAAAAATAAAAAGGAGCCCAAATCAATTATTAGGTCTAGTAATAATTAATGTCGTTTTCTAATACTTTTTTAAATCGAATTTATTTACACAATACAACAAAATTTAATCAACAATATAGTTGCCGTTGTTTTCTACTACTTGTTCCCAACGCTCAGGAAGCATTTTAATCCCTCTGTTGTAAAATTCTTGTGATTTTGATACAAAAAATTCGGTCAATGCATTTTTGAGGCATTCTTCATTATTAAATTTTTTTCCAAGAAGAAAGTTTTGCAAAGAACGAAACAAATGGTAATCGGAAGGGGCAATATCAGGAGAATATGCAGGTTGAGGGAGAACTTCCCATTCCAACTGGCGCAGTTTTTCAGCAGTGATTCTTGCAGTATGCGGTCGTGCGTTATCGTGGTGAAGAATTACGCCCTTCCGATTAATCAGCGCGGGTTCTTTTTCTCTTAAAGCTTGGGCTAACCTTTCCAATTGGGCACTATACACTGCACTTGTAATGGTTTGGTTAGATGGTAAAAGTTCATAATGAAGAATTCCTTTAAAATTCCACCAAACACACATCATCACTTTTTTCGCATGCAAGTCAGGTTTTGGCGTGGGCTGCGGAGCCTCATTTTTGTCCAACCATTGAGGCCGCCTTTTCAAATTAACATACAGCACCCATTTTTCATCTCCGGGAACAATTTGCTCTAAAAACGGCAAACGGTTTTGACAAGAGAGGAGCGAACTGCAAATTGTGACTCTTTGATTACAGCTGTTGTCGGTCAACTCATGAGGAACCCATTTTCCAAACTTTTGGACTTTGCCAAGTGCACGCAATTGATTGGAAATTGTTTTTTGTGAACAATTTAAAGTTGTTGCAAGCTCTTGTTGGGTAATTTGAGGATTTTGCACCAAAAGAGCTTGAAGAGCTTCTTGATCAAAGTTGGACACACGGCCTCGACCACTCTTGTCATCTAACGAAAAATTTCCCTCGCGAAATTTCTCAAACCAACGCTGGCATTTTCTGGCGCTAACTGCATCTTGACCAAGAGCACTACAGATGTTTTTTGCAGCCTCACTTGCTTTTCTTCCTAATTGGAACTCGTAAAGCATGCAGTGCCGAATATGCTCTTCATCCGCCATCTTCTTAGCCCTAGTTTTGCAACAAAAACCAAACCAAACACAAACTTTTTCAAGCAAAACTTGTTAATTGCACTTCACACGTTCTGTAGATACCACGTGTTTGAAGGTTATGTCAATACAAGTCAACGCCAAGCAAGATTTTAAACGAATGTTTAAAAACGACATTAATTATTACTAGACCCGATATATAAAAATGATTTTTTTATTAACTTTTGGTAGAGAATATGTTCGTATATTTTCAGAAAACAACTCCAAGACTAGGTGGATTCCTGCAACAGAGAGAAATTGACAAATCTGCTCCAACCACAAAGACAGAGGAGAAACAGTCCAGAGATGAAAGACGCTGACGATGCCTTGCCACGCTAGCAGTCAGCAGCTGTGCATCCCTGCAGGTTGCCCCGGACCAAACCAGAGGGTTGGATCTGCATTGCCACCATGTGCCCACCATCCAGATATCATTGCTGACATGTACACATAAGGAACTGTTGGACATTAAAATTGGGACTCAAACATTTGTTGTTATGTTTATTTCTAGTCTGCAGAGGCAAGATTTTTTTAAAGGAAAGAAATGGGAAAAAAATAGATACAGAGGCAAAGAAGCATAAATTACAGTGGGAAGGCAGGGAAGATTGGGGGGGGGGGCTGTAAGAGATCAACCGAAAAACTTGTACTCATGCATATAAGCATAACCAATGGATACAAGACACAGGGGCGCGGGGCAGGTTAGGGCATGTACTGGGGGGTAGGAGAGACCAGGAGGAAGTCAATAGGGGGAAAAAAGGAGACATATGTACCATTATTTGTAATATTTCAAACAATAAAAGAAAAAAACCCAAAAAACAAAATGCTACCTAGTAAGTTCAGCAGCAATAGGCTATCTGGGAGCGTCATTGGAGGGCCTGTGATCCCAGGCTTCTGGCCTACCAGACTTCTTGGTTAGGTATGTTTTCGGTGGGACATAACCCACCTAAGAGGATAGTTTCTTACCCCCCTCACTGAAAATGGCTGATCTTCTGAGCAGCTAACAGAAAGGAGGGATCTCCTTAAGTGAACCAGTATGGCCAGCTCATAAAGTGAAATAAAGTAGCACATTCTCTCCATATATCATTTTCCACTATGATTTCTAAGAAGGGACCATGAAGATTCAGGGATCAGAAGGGATTTAGAAGCCATCAGAACACGTGGTTTTTTGGACAGAAAGGAGCAGTGCTTCTAATGGGCTATTCCCAGGTAATTCGAACAGCCTTCCTTTCTGGTTGCCTGTCTAAAACCACAATCAACATTTCCTGCCACGAGGGGTTACTGTGAACTGCTGTGAACTCCTGCTTGCTTCCAGCTCTAATCAAAGTGAGCCCCTTTGAGGGACAAAAGGTGTTTGGGGCCAGCACAGGTGACTTCCAAACTCTTCTTCCCAGTAGGCATGCACCTCAATCCATCTTTCTTTTTAGTAATCTAGGGCCACAGTACATTCACTCATGCTGGCTCTATTGTTTCTTCTTCCTGAGATGTGTACATCTGTGACAGTGAGGCAGGCCCTTTTCTTCCTCCTGGAATAGCTGGCAATACAGCCAGAAGGTTGTGGACCCAGTCTCTAAGGCTGACCTCCAGGCTGGGCAAGACTCACTTCTACCCATCTATTGCCATTTTCTTCTCCTTTGTTACAGTTCCCAAGAGCAGCATCATGAGGGATTAGCTCTGTATTCCTGATGGATCAACCCAAATGGAGGGGGAGTGTGCTGGAAAAGCAACTCAGGAGGCTTCTTATAGCAAAGAGGAGTGTCAGTCAGGATTATTTTCTTCAATTTCTCGGGGATTTTTCCATTCTAAAGAAGGGTGATGTTAGCTCTCTCCAAGACTCTGTGTACGGAATTCGGGGACATTCACACATCTGAATGATGAGGCCTGGAGGCTGCAGACTCCACAGCACTGGCTCCTAGGTCAGCTGTGTCAAAGGCAAGTGCCCAGGAAGCCTGGAAGCAGCATTGGCAAGGAAGGATGCCAGGACCCAGGTTCACTCTGATTGGATAATTTCTAGAACATGCTTCTTTTCAAGAGAAAATTCTGGGGTTTGGTTTTAAAGAGCAGCTTCTTACCACACTGAGTGCTTCATATTTTCTCAAGTGATAACAGTTGATGGCTGAGTCAGGATAATAAAAAAAGTGCAAGTGCACGCGCATGCACGCACACACACACACACACACACACATACACACTCTCACGCCAAAACAGTTGTCTTTAAACAACCTTGCACACATTCACACATACATTAGACATAAAATGACTTGCATGAATACCACCTATCTGAAAAAGGCAGGTGGTAGATTTGGACATGCATCCTGGTGCACTACTAAGTCCAGTACTATGATTTAAGAAACACACTGTGTATTCCTTTTAAAATCTTTATTGTGCATAAAATGGCCCATTCCCCTTCGTAGCTCAGTTTTTACCACTCATCAAAGGGTAAATTTTTTTTCTTTAAATTCTTTCCACTTCCTGTCTGACTGAAAATGTCTTCTTTTGGAAGGGATAAAGAATAATCTATCTTTGCTGGTCAAAAGAAGCTGGAGAATAACTCCTGAGGGCTAAGGCTCAAATATGCTATCTGAGCAGGGTTAGAACCTCCTATTCCTGTTGGCGAGCCCCACACAGTGATTGACTCGGGGTGGTAGTGCCTGCTGCTGCCCTAGGTGATGCTGAGTTTGGAGCCCACTGTGTGTGGCCTGATGTTTGGGGCTCACTCAACCTCAGGCGTTTTGAATGAATATATATCCTCTTCCCCCTGCCTTCAAGGGGACTTAACTCTTGAGAAGAAAAACCTGCCTGAGGCTGCATGCATTTCCAGAGCTGGAAAACATTTCATGCAGCATGTCACCAGGTACTGAATAAACTGCAAACTAGTGGTTATAAAATGGAAGCTTTGAAAAAAGTACTGTTGGGAGTGCAGTGCAAAGGAACATTTCATAGGCTTGTGGATTTTTAAGCTTCTCTGCAAAGTCTTTAGTCCTTTTCTAACAACTGAAGGAAGCAGTGTGCACTTTGGAAGGATGCAGTATTGGCTGGCAGCAAGAGGCAGGTAGTAACATCTCATGCCCCTGCTACAGTAAGCCACTTAGAGAGGATCACTATGCCCACATCCCTTCCAGCCACTTCCTAAACTGCTTCCTCGGCTAAAACCGGTTTGGCTCAGTGGATAGAGCGTCGGCCTGTGGACTGAAGGGTCCCGGGTTTGATTCCAGTCAAGGGCACGCACCTTGGTTGCAGGCACATCCCTGGTAGGGGGTGTGCAGGAGGCAGCTGGTCAATGTTTCTCTCTCTTTGATGTTTCTAGCTCTCTATCCCTCTCCCTTTCTCTCTGTAAAAAATCAATAAAATATATTTTAAAAATAAATAAAAATAAACTGCCTCCTTGTCCTGGAGTTAGCAGGAGCTACAATGGAGGGAGGCAGCTCTCCTGGGGCATGGTCAGGTATGGTGGCCTTTGAGAGGTGGAGGGTTAGGGAAAAGGCCACAAAGGCAATAAAGGTTCTGACCCAAGTCCAATTTTATTGGAAGTTGGGGTTTAAAGATGGACTCTAGAACACCCTTCTCTTCCCCTTTTAAGAAAAGAGAATAAAAACAGAGACTCTGCCTGCCTCATCTGAAAACAAGAAGTGAAGTCAGAGCTGTGGTGGCTGCCAGCTGTACACTCCTAGATTTCCACAAGAGGAAGATGGCAGCTTCGGGACAAAGTGAAGAAGAAGACAGATTCTTTGCTCCTTTATAGTGAGAACTAATGTTCAAGTTGAGGCACAGTGTGGTTTCCCAGGGAAGTTCCAAGGTCAGCACGGATGCCCAATTTGTCCTGCCCTCAGGTGGCCTTTAAGAGTTGCCATGTCTCTGTTCTCTCTACATTGGCCCCTCTGCACAGGAGTTGGCTAGAACACTGTCCCAGTCTGGCCTGGCACTGGTGGGCCTCCTCCTTGGGCTCACCATAAGCTAATTCTGTGGATGGACAAGTGGTGATTCACCAGGTTTCCCCAGACAGTGGCTGAGCTGAAAGAAATAAGCAGTTTGGTTCAAGGAGCTAGTTACATGGTGCTTTATCATTCTTTGCCCCCCACCTGAAGATCCAAGAACTGTGGAGGTCTTGGCTGGAGCTGTTACCAGTTTGAAGAGACCAAACTAAACCCCAATACCTAAGACTCACCTGTGCATGTCTATCAGGTTGGATTTGAGGTTGGGCTGAGGGAATCCTAATCAGATGGATACAAGGTCCTACCAGGCACTGTCTCAGCCATCCTAGAAGAGGGCATACCCCCAATTTTGTATAATAAATGTGTTATGGGAGGTTAAAAAACCCTGGTACCAAAACTGAGAAAAAATGGGTTCTGCAGAGCCAATATTCCCACAGGAAGAGACAAGTGGCATCTGTGCTTGCTGGTCTGGCTTCAAGCAGTGCTGATATGTCTCCTTGACAAGTAGATGGTGTAGGCATAAAGTCTGGCGCCAGAGTGAGAACAAGGTATCAGGTGGAGGAGGAGGAAGATCCAGAAACAAAGTATAGGAGGGGACAGAAGAGCTGTGAGTGGGGGACCCCATGAGGGACTCACTGCTTTCTGATATCAGTGGGGTCAGTAACTCTATAAAGAAGGTGATCTAATAAATAGATGTATGTAGTAAGAATGCAGGCAGGCTGGCATGGTTACCTCTGTCACTTTCACACCAGGTGCCAGGTGATCAGTGTTTTTAGTAAAGATATAAAAATGAATTTTTTTCAAGTATTAAAAAAATAAGTTAATTGAAAAAAGGAGTCTGAAGTGGGTGAGTGTCTTGCTAGATTGTCAGCTTCATTTCAATGTGCAAATGCAGGAAAAACACCAAAGAGGGTTACTCCTGCCCCAGCTGAAGTACTGAACAGTGACTGGGGCTTGAAATGTAGAGCCTCACCATCTCCCAAAGTCAATATTTTCCAGTGTTAAAATGGTTGTGAATTAAAAGCAAAATGCAGCAATATACAACCCTCAGGCCATAGACAGAGGGAGGCCTGGGGCATTTGGCCATGAGGAGTCCAGTGTGTGGTGTGGGGCTGGGGAGCAGACTCCTCCTGGATCCTCCTTATTTGCATAATGAACTCAGGAACTGGGATTCCCTCAGCTTCCAGGTGATGCAGGATAGGCATCACCCTGACTGGCCACAGCCTCTCCCACTCTTAGTTCACACGTGGTTTTCCTGGGAATCTCCTTTGTTTCTTTGGTGGTTCTTCAGGGAGCATGAAGACAGTTGCTCCTTCCTCTCTGTGGGGTGCACTCTGGTAGCTGTGGTTTTGACAGAGGGGGAGCAGCTTTCTTCTCTCATCACACGTGCCTGCACAAGGTGGGGTGCTGGTTACTGTGCATCCCTTGGGAACTTACTTTTCCCCACATTAATCCTCTGCACTCCATGGCCTTCGCTCCTTGGACCAGGAAGTCAGGGTGAATCTATTCAAGGAGGCAGACCCACTTCAGATACTCATCTTCACTTGGTATTCCGCACAGCACAGACACTTGATCTGCTTTTTAAGAGGCATGGACATTTGAGTGCAAACTCATAGGAGCTGCTAGGCCTTCTCAGATCTTGGATCTAGGTGGTGTAGAAGAGCCCAGCTGGGTCAGGTGGATTCTACAGACCAGCCAGTAGAGCATGATGGGAGCTCAGGACCAGTTTAGGCTGAAGCCCTTTGACAGCATGACAGCCTCCAAGTCCTTGTCTTCCTCTTTCTCTCGAAGGCGCTGTTCCTCTAGTAAGGCCACAAGGGCATCTCTCTGCTCCACCACCTCCAGCATCTCATTCAGGATCTTCTTCTCCTCTGACAACTCCTCTTCGGTCTTAAGGTGATCTGGACAGTAGCAAAGGACAGATCTGTAGGGCCAAGAGGCTACACCCAGCCTACCCATGTACAGCTTAGCCTTGTTCCCCTCTTACCTTCCATTGCCATTCGCTCCCGCAGTTCCTGCTGCAGTCGGCTCTGCCGGTCTTCCAGTTCCAGCTCCCGGGCACTGGGAAGGTAGGAAAGGGAAAGGAGACAAGCAATGGTGACTTGGGGACCATATCTCTTTACCCCCTAAATTAGGAAAGAGCTGTGCTCCTGCCATGATAGGCACTGAGCTCACAGCTGGGTCCACTTACAAGATCATCAGCTCTGACTCATAGCGCACCATGGCATTCTTCTCTTGCACCAGCCTGAACCACTCCTGCATCAGCTTCGGGTCATCCTTCTTGCCCATGCCTGCAAGAAAGAGGGAGAGTCAGGCACATAAAGGGTTTGCTGTCTACTTGGCTAGCAGGAGTCGAGTCATCATCACACTGGGGCAAATGTGCAAAGAGAGCAGAGCGAGATGCTGCAGGAACATTCTCAAGCCAGGTTCAGTGTTTGCCTGCTGCCCAAAAGGGGGCGCTATGCCCATCCCCAGGGCCTAATTGAGCCTGTACTTTGAGTTTGTCCTTTCCAGGGCTGTCCTCACCTCTCAGTAACCTGGTCACTACTAGTTTGGACCTCTCCTGCTCAGTGTTTTTTCTGTGGTATATTTTAAGTGCTTTGCTCTCTTTTTCCTTTTTCCTTTTCCTTTCCTTTCCTTCCTCTTCCTTCCTTCCTTCCCTTCCTTCCTTCCTTCCTTCCTTCCTTCCTTCCTTCCTTCCTTCCTTCCTTCCTTCCTTCCTTCCTTCCTTCCTTCCTTCCTTTCATTTACTATTTACTTGGTACTTGCTAAGTAATAGGCCTGCTTTGAAGAAACTAGTCTAATGACGGAGGTAAATGTGAAGTTATATGCCACACTTGGTCTCTTTTTAAGTCACACTCACTAACTCAGCTCTTTCTGGGCACTGACCCCTTGGGGCCTCATCATTTCTTTTATCCTGACCAAATACTCTTTCATTGGATGCTATATGGTACATGAGATACATCCCAGGAAGGCTAGCACATTTCTTACTGAGGGCAAAGAAACAATAGCAGACCCTAAAGACTAAATGAGGTGGTACACTCACTCAACCCAACCACAGCAGCAGTGTCTGGACTGGCACCTGCCTAACTCAGGTTGCCCTGCGCCATGGCATTGCTGAGACCTAGACCTCCACTAGGAGTATCCTGACCCCGCTGGGCTTCATTATAGTAGGAGGATGGACAAAAGAACTTTCCAAGGAATCAAACTATCCAAAGAAGGAAAAAACCATTTCTTTGGAGCTTAAAGAAGCTATAGTGTGGTCCTGCCTGAAGGCAAATGACAAATTATGTTAGTGGTTCTTCAATATTTTTTTAATTACAAATCATTTTGAGAACCTCAGGAAAGCTCGAGATTCCCTTCCTAGAAAAAAAAATGCATGCATATACACCCAACAATTTAATTTCATAAAGAATTTCAGGGTGTTCATGGGACTCCTGAAATCCATCCATGGGTCCCAGGTGAAGAGGCACTGCCCTGGAAAGTCTTTCAAAGTGCTTTCCATTTTATGAGTAACTTGGTCGGATGTTCTATCCTAGTAAAGACTAGACCTAGAAACATATGGAGTACACCCTCAGCTGGGATGACCTAATGTATCAAACTCCTTACTCACTGCTTTCCTATATTCTTCACACCTGACTTTTTTGCATGTTGTTCAAAGACAACTCTCTCTCTGCAATGCTGTTTGCTTGACACACATGAGGTCCAAGCCAGTTAGTCTTTCAATGGGGCCACACACTGGAGAGGCAGAAATGACTCACGTTCATACAAGCAGGGGTTAATGAATGCACTGTGTGGTGCACATGCAGCTGGGCTCCCAAGGTGAAGTTTTGCCCCTGAGTCCTACTCTGAAGGATGGAAGCTCCCTTCTGACTATCAAGCCTGCTACTGTGGAGTGTGTGTTGGAGTGTCTGAGGACCAAAGCTCTTCTCACCCAACCCAATAGACTTGGCTCTTTGGCTGTTAAAGCAGCCTACAGATCAGTTCCATGCATTCCTTTCTGAATGTCTCTGCACAGTGTGCCCACATGACCATGGAAGATGGAGCCTGATGCATGCAAGCTATCCAGTGTGGCAAGCTGTAGATGCACTAGGAAGCCACTTCCTCCTTCCCACCTCCCCCATATCCTACAGGGAAACCTCCAAACACCATTCATGAGCTTTGGTAGATTGTTCACAGCCAATAAGCAAAAGTACTTGGTGGGGTGGGTGAAAGTCAAATGTGAGCACCATGGAGAGCACAGGAAGAGATTAGCAAAGGTTAGTCATGAACACACTCCCCTTCCCCTTCCCACATGCCTTTTCAACAACAATTTTATCACCACAAAAGACTTCAAATCAGACAAACTTAAAAAAAAAAATCACACACACTCAGCAAGACACAGGGTAGAGAAGTTTGCTTTCAGTAGTTGTTTGGGAAAAAAACTAAGGGGCATTTGTATAGACCAGTCTTTGTAAGGACAGTATTCCTCGACTCTACCAATACAAATCGTTGCCACACAGGCAGGAGGTTCCTCACACAGGCAGGAGGTTCCTGTGAACCTGGCCCCTCTATCTGCTGGACTTGAGACTAAAAGGCCCAACCACAAATGGTGGTGCAATATCATGAACTCTCTGCTGCTGCTGAGACGTCTACCTCGGAGGCTCTCTGGCTTTACTCCATGCCCCATTTCTCCCCTGAAACAGTCAAAGGGATACTGTACCTTGTAAGAAACTGCCACATACTCATGAAGTTTTGTAACAGGGCTATCAAGTGTCAGAGAAAGAAAGACAGCTGGGTGTGGCTTCCTCTTTAACTAGTGTTACTATGGCCTGAGAGGCAGTGGGATGAGGTTGGGAGTTACGTTACCTTCCTGGACACAGCAAGGGCAGAAGGAGAGAGGTCTACGCCGTGGAGTCCCGCCACTGGGCTCAACTTCAAGAAGGACCAAACAAAGAGGAGGAGGAGGAGACAGAGAAAGACAAAAAGAGGAGGAGTAGTTTGGAAGTGAAGAGAAACAGGAAGACAGTGAAATAAAAAAATAAGCAGAGGACAAAAAGAATAAAAATGAGAAAGGAACAAAAGGAGGAAAAGAAAAAAAAATACAAGAAATAGAAAGGCAGAAAAAAGGGAAACAATGTCTACAAATGAATTAAGTCCCTTTTTCGGCATGGAAACTCAGTAGAGAGACCCAGGCCTGAGTGACCACCATCAGCAACTGTTTAGCACCCATTCACTTTGACCACTGGGGGCAGGTGACAGGTGAATTGAAGAGCAGCAGAATACTGTCATATAGTAAGGTATGTTTCATCATATTCTAGTGATGCATGCAATAATCAAGGATAGTGCTTTATCACTTCAAAACACTCTCACACATGTTATTTCATTGATCCATACATTGGTGGCCACCTGAATGACTATTAGTATTTCTATTTTGAAATGGGTGATATGAGGATCAAAGAAGTTAAATGTGGCACAACCTGACTAAAATCTGGATTTTCCTTTTCCACGCTGAACTAAGTTTGCCCTCCTTAAAGGGGCAACAAAAGCTCTAGGTCAGTGGTTTTCAACCTTTCTAATGCTGTGACACATTAATACAGCTCCTCATGTTGTGGTGACCCCCAACCATAAAATTATTTTTGTTGCTATTTCATAACTGCAATTTTAATGAATTAATAAATCATAATGTAAATATGTCAATGAATCATAATGTAAATATCTGTGTTTTCCGATGGTCTTAGGCAATCCTGTTAGCGGTTCTCAACCTGTGGGTTGCGGCATTAGAAAGGTTGAGAATCACTGCTCTAGGTAAATCTAACAATAGTTAGCTACCGGAAACTGTCATACACAGATCCTATTCATAATGCCAGGCCTGGAAAAGTGTGGTACTGTCACCCTGTCCTCCAGTTGTAGAGGCCAGTGAAGCTCGGACCTGACTTAAGATCTTGCTTTCTAAGTTAGGGGTGCTCTCCACACTACCACTTTGCCTCTGACCCATGAGCCACCTCACTCCAAGTCCTGCCTCTTCTGTGGAGCAGTTGGCAGTTGGAAAAAGCAAACAATCTTATGGCAACTCACCCTTCTCTATACTTATCTGTCTATATTTCTATCTTCCTCTGACTTTCTCATGAAGGCTTTGTCTAAAACACTTCACCTCAAAGTACTGCACTCTCCTCTCCTACCCTATTAGTTAATTGAGTGAAATGTTAGCCTACCTGAAAAACACCAAACTAACCAACCCAGCCTCAGGATCCTGAGTGTAGATGATCATCTGTGATGTACACAAACCCAACATGACTTCAGTCCTTTTGGTTGTCAAAATTCCCTGAGACTGAGAGGCAAAGGTCTGGCAGTTTTCTCACAAGGAGAGGTGAGGATGGTAGGAAGTACGGAGGCGCTAAAGGATTAACTGGGTTCCCACAGACAGAGATGAAGTCTGGAAAGATATCTCAGCTGTGGGAGGTTCCCACTGAGAACTTTGGGGTCTTAAACCCCAAGCTCGGCTCCCCAGCCCAGAGCACCAGAACTAAGAAAGGTGCCCACATAACATCTGGCTGTGAAAAGTAGCAGGGTTGCTGTCTTAAGGGACCAACACAAAATTTTATGTGCCACCACTCACCTGGGGATCTGGTAGAGGGAGGGCAGAGTGGACTGGAGCTGAGTGAGCAAGCCAGGATTGGGAGCTCTGGAGTTGGAGCTTGGAGGGCAGCCACCCTGGTTTCCTGTGCTGAGTAATTTCCTCATGCTCGGGGGAAGTTTTTCTCTGGTGGTGGGATTTTGCTATCCAAGCAGTTTTGACTGAGGGGGAAGGCAGTAGCCTCCCTGTTAGAGAACCTCTTGCCCTACAATGTGTTCAATAGCCTGAGGCTAATCGAGTCTAAGTGTCAACTGAACTTGAGGCAGAAGCAGGTCTCAGGAGGTTTTAAATCTTTTCCTCATCTAATCGTGGGCCCAGGGCTATGAAAAGTAGACCTTGGTGCACATCTTGGTCCTTTCCAAAGGCATCCTGTCGCAGCAGAGAGAGTCACAAGCTGTGGATTGCAGACAAGGTACTCAGTGCCTAACAAGGTACTCACGGCCAGTCACAAAAAAGGGTTTGACATTGCCTAGGCTGGTTTGGCTCAGTGGATAGAGGGTTGTCAGCCTGAGGACCAAAGTTTTCAAGGTTTGATTCCAGTCAAGGCACGTACCTTGGTTGTAGGCTCCTCCTCAGGATGAGGAGGCAACCAATTGAAGTGTTTCTTTCATCAATATTTCTATCTTTCCCTCTCTCTTCCACTCTCTCTAAAAATCAATGGAAAAATATCCTTGA